GTACTGCAGAATATATGACTTGCGTACAACAAGAAATATAGCCGTGGGCAATAAGTATAAATTGCGCTACGAAGGAAATGCAACAATCCGAAAACACCAAGTAGCAACTGGCAAACGGAAAGCAGTTAGCGAGCGAAGTGGGCAAATACGAGAAAGTTTGAGTTCGCAAGGCCATACCATCTCACTCGTAACTAAATATTGCATCTGATTCTTGCAGGAATTTCTGTTGCTGCTAAAATAAGAAAATTAGATTCCCATTTCTCCACCTTTTGTTTTTGTTTGTGTTTTATAAAAGTTTTGCCAGGTGCATCTAGCCACTTTGGCACAGCTGGAGTCTAATGACCCGGGCGGACAAAATTATTGCTGTTTATTAGTGTAGTGAGTTGTGTATGAGAAAAAAAGGAACATACCTTACGATGCTGGTGCTGGTGTGAACTCAGGTTTCTGTGACGTTTATTGGCTGCTAAGCTACTTACCTGAAACTCCAATGCTATTCTACATATTAGGGTTCACTTTTTATGCGCTGAATTTTCAACTTCTGTCGGCGATAGCTGTTTTCTTCGAGTTTTTTCATCGCACATGCAAAACTAAAAGTTTTCTAGAGGTTCTTGCTATTGTTGTTTTTCCCATTTGCCACCCAGCAATTCACGCCTTTTTCATCTCTTTATATCTGAACTGCACATTTTGCCGTTCGCCTAGCCGATAGCGATTTTCTTGGTGTGAAGTGGTGGCCACTACTGCAACGCACTGCAGCGTAGTGTAAAACCCACTGCGAGAATTTCTCCCCCGAAATTTGTAAGCGACAATTGGGTGTGCCAGTTCGTTGCGTTTGTCCTTGCTTTCGTGCAGTGAGTGCTCAGTTGGTATCTCGCCAAGCGGTTTTTGTTGTTTTGTGTATTTGTTTTGTACTTTTTCTTTGGCGATACACATTGCTGCTGGTGTTATTTCAGCCCGTTTACAAGTTTATACTTCTGTCGTCTCGGCACATAACTACCATCACCATCATCATCCATCGCTTTTCATTTCGCCACTTTGCTGCTTTTTGTGCTTGTCCTCCTCCGCTTGCCGCCATCCCTCACACCACCCAACCACCGCTTGCTTGTAGCTCACTGACAATTTACTGCATTTGCCACAAAATTGGAATTTAGTCTGCGCGCGCTTTTTCTTTCAAAACACAAAACTACAAATCAGAGACAGGCATAAGAGAGGAACCGAAATAAACGCCGCCATATAATGCATCGTTACCCTTGAATTGGGTGTTGTAGGAAGAAAGTAGTGCAAGACAATTTTTTTCGTATTTTTTTTACCCGTCTCTGCCTCGGAAAGAACTAGCATTACCTACCGTTCGCGTCCATTGGGCCCCTATGTAAGTAATAATATGGGTCCAACGGACCCGGGCTGGTAGTCTCTGCTAGATTTATAATATCAATACGAATTATGTATAAAAAAAAGTTAACAAGATCAAAAATGTATAAACTACATGAAAATAAGCAGGGCAAAGAAGTTACAGAGCTCAAAACCATCAGATATTTATATGGGAACTCAGTAAAATTTCATTCAGGTCTTTTGAACTCGGCCGGTGGACAAAGGATTAATATAAATTCTTTCTGTTAAAACATGAGGAATTAACGCAGCTTCAACTGGTACATGGTGGTACGGAGCCTTAACTTTTTAAAAGCTCTTATCACCTTGCTTCACATTAGCACATACATATCGATTTTAAGCTTTAATATGGTGAAAGAGAGTTATTGTAATGATGAATAGATTTTCACTATGTATTTAGAGCCGCAGCAAACTTCAGACTTTATCGGCCGATTATTTAGTAGAGTTCTCTTGAATTACATGCTTGACCAGCTCTTCTACGTGCAGACTGTTTATTCAGTCTACTATTCGATATTATAGCGAACTGGTCAAGTGCTTGACCACATACACATACCCAGGCATCTCATTATGAAATTGTAGCAATTTCCCTATTATTCAGTATGCAGTGTGCGTTCCAGTGGCTTTGCTAATTTTGAGCCGCATTATTGCTGTTCTCACCTTGCTCTTATAGAATGAAGTGACTTCAGCATCGTACCGGTACACTGGCATGGATTGATTTTATTAAACACCGCACTAGTTTTGCATTGATAAGTGTTCCATCCATAATGCCACCACCATATTGCCATATTCGTATCTGTAAGAGATACCACCGGCTTATGTGGCTTAGATGCGTGGTTCGCGAACAAATCAGAAGAATTTGAAAATTTTCGTTTGCGAATAAATATTTACGCATTTCACTACGGGTTGTAAGCGATTTTTAGAAGAGTTTTTTTGATAAAACAAAAATTAAATAGAGTAGTTACATTCATAAAGATTTAAAGTCGATTGGGAAACTTCCCGGGGTCCGGGTACAAATTGGCGGGCTTTCGTTATAGTGTTTCCTTCGAATTTTAAAAGGTTGTAATCAATACCGTATTAAATTGACTTAGAATCATTTAGTACATTTTCCGGCATTGTTTGTGCTGGTAATTTAGGCAGGAATTCTTAAATTAAGAAAAAGGGGAGCAGTATTCTTGTCATGTATACTGTCATATGTTTGTTTTTCCTGATCCACTTGAAACGGCACAATTTGAATGTTTCTTTATAGTCAATCCGCTGGAACACTGTGCCTGAACAATGAAAACCTTTCCTCTGCCGAAATGTGCATTTAGTAAGTCGTCCTCTGGCATACAAAATATCAGAGAGGAAAATTTTACCTAAAAAAATAGTAAACCCCAAAAAAAGTCTTGGGTACTTAAAACAACCCGAGCGGTACACCTAATACTATTTAAGAGTTAAAATTACACGTTGCTACAAAAAATGGCTGCAAGTACTTTTTATGGCATATAGTAGAGGTGCTGGAACAGGTAAGAAAATATTTTGGAATTTCAAATACACCCTCAAAATCTAAAGTTATGATCAAAAAACTGAAAATTGGGATCTTGGGACAAATCAAAGGTCATAAATTGCACATGTTTCAACGCATTCTGATAACCTAATGCTCGTTGAAAAGCGGAAGGTTGTCTCTTTCTGCTGCTTTTAGAATATTTAAGTTGAATTGATAACCATTGACTGCATGAACAAAAAAGCTTGAGAAAAATCCGAAAAAATAGTTGTGGTAACTTTGGGTCAAAAATATACCCTGTAGTTGTATTAAAACCATGCCTAATGATTTATCTAAAACAAACTAGATTTTCCCTTCTTTCTACGGAAAACGCTATGCGAAAAACCACTGGTCCCACAATGTGCCGTATGCAGTTGTCTGAATTTTGTTTCTATGTGTAATAATACAAAACAATTAGAAATATTAATAACATTGCTTACGCAAAAACGGAACAGAACAGACTCGAAGCTTCTGGCACGATTGCTAACTGGGCTGTGTTTGCTTTCAGCACTTGCATTTGAATAGAGGATAAAAAATTTAGGAAACGTGACTATCACGAGGAAACCGTGAAGCATATAATTTCTGAGTGTCCAGGAGGGATAAAGCTCTACATATTATTAAAGTATCTGTTAAAGAAACGACAATGCTTTTTAACATTGCGGGAAAGCATTGATCGTAAACGTACCTAGCAACGCTATGGACATTATATTCATCTACATATGTGAGACCTCTTACGGTCCGCCTGCACAGCCTAACCTAATCCAGTATTTATACAACTGCAGAATCGTTCAAAATATTATATTAAAACCAACAACTTCGCCCTAATAATTTGTGTATTTTACGAGCATACGTATCCAACAAAACGCCTGCAAGCAGATTCACATAAAATGTGCATTTTCGAAGAGAAAGTGATACGAACTAGAAAATCGCACACCCACTGCTAAACGGTTAAGCAAATATTTACGACAATAATAATAAAAAAAGTTTAAGCAAGTGATGCCAGCCTCAATTCGGTTGGCGTTTGTGCTATTTTTAACGGCCACACCCAGTCGGTTGTCATACTATTTTTTTTGGGACAGTTCGCCACTGCGGGATGCGCTTCTGTTCGCGGTCCATTTTACTGCTTGAATGTTCAAAGCTAATTTATTTTGATTGTAAACTATTTTCACGCTACTCAGTCGCGCGCGTTTATTTTTCTCTTCTCTGCTAGCTGCAATGTTTTTCAATTATTGTGCTATTTGCTAGGCACAAAACTACGCTAAGACCCAAGGCGATGAAAAACTCAACAATGTCGTTACAAAAAAAGCTTCACACAAATTTACCGAAAACAAAGCATACGTGTGATAAAAGTCAATATTATAAAACAATAAGGCGAAAACAAATTTTAAAGCGCCGTATTGAACTAAGTAGAATGTGCAACAGCGCATACCGGGCATAAGCGCCTAGAGGTATGCAACAATTTGCAGAAGAAGTTTATGTATGGAAGGCGCAGCAGAAGTGTATTGCAAAATGTCCTGCGTATGTGTTAGTGAGTCACTGCACTTGTACTTGGAGATATGTAAGTGGTTGTAAGTGCGCACACAAGCTAAAGTGCCAAAGTGTGTTGAGTTTTTACTAAAGGAGTTGCGTGAAGTTGTTTGCCACTATAAGCGTGCTGCAGGGAAAGAGTTGTTAATCTGAGGCGTGTAATTACTAACAAATAACTGCACTTGAAAATGAAATAAAAAAGCAAGAAAAACAACAAATGCTTATATGTAGTTGCTTGCAAATATTAGAAAGCAAAAGTGAGTTGTGCGAGTGCGATAACTACGCCCGCATCGCAACATCATCTTCTCGTCTGGATTTCCTTCTCCGCGCTTACTGCTTGCTCGTACGTTGCAACTTTCAATCTCTTCACGCACGCAGCGATATTTTACGTGTTGCTAAAGTTTAGGAAACTGCAACAGAATAGCATTTTAAATCAGCAGCATCGTTTTTAACTGCCTGTCTTCCACCAACAACGGAGCAAAACTTATAAACTTTCAACCAAGTACTTGTAACAAGCTGATTTGACTTGTAATAACGCTTGCGTACAACTAACTTGCCGCTCGCGTCAACAGCCAAGGCGGCGGCACCTCAAGACCCATGCACAGGTAATTAATATTTTATGTAGCTGGCGCAAAACTTGTGTCTACTTATTTTGTGTATCTCTTTTAGGTAAGACTTTCACCGTTTGATATGCATCTACTTTTAATATAGTATCATTTTACGGTAAAATTGCCCGCCATTTTGGCCGAAAAGGCAATGTATGCTCACTACCTTTCCTTACTTTCCTCCATTAACTCTTCGAAAGCTTTTTGCTTTTCTACATAGTACGCGTTGAGCAAAGAAACTTTTGGCAAAAGTTTACCCAAACTACACTTTGTACTTTGCTTGTATGTAGTTTCAAATGGATTTGAGTTTAATTGATTTGCGTTTACATTTATGAAGTTTCTTAGTCATTGCGGGAATTTTGCGGCAGTGGAAGTTTGCGATTTTAGGTATAAAAAGGCTTTATATTAGCTTAAAGCTTAAGCAAGCAGGGTGTTTTCTTAAATAAAAAGAAATAATACAAAGACCATCAATAAAAATAAAAAGGAGATGCTTGCCAACTTCCAGATTTCGCTTAATTATACTGAAGTTTGGCATTTGATTTCCCTGGATGAACTCGGAGTGATCCATACCAATTCTGTACTGAAGTACTGAAGTTATTGTTCAAAGTACAATCTGTAGCAACTTTTTGATGTTAGTATAAGTATATAAGTATTATATTCGCAATTTCATCCCACTGTATTTAACACCAACGAACGCTGATGGCTGTGCCTTCCTGCGCTTAAGAACTAATTTCACTTATTTACAGCCGGAGCAAATACATTTATACATCGAAATCTCCTTAAGTTTATGAAACTAGTTAAGACGTATTACTGCAGTTTCTATTACTTTGTCTGCATCTTAGTTTAAACAGACAACTGTTTTTTCACTTTCTTCCTCAAATTCATTGGCTGAATTTCTTGGCTTCCATGTATACTAGGGTGATTGACTCGGTCTTTCCAAGCCAGTTTTCAACGGTTTTTTATAGATGGTGGATACTTATAGATGTTTTTTTTTTTGAAATTGTGATTTTTCGATTGTCGAATAAACCGTATTTTTTATCGAACCAGTTTGGTTTTTTACTTCATACCAACCTTAACCTCTCGTTAAAAGTTTTGATTTTTCGAACTTATCAAGTCTTTTTTCAGTTTAAGGGAAATCTATAAATAGTTTTAAAATGATATCCTAGGTTAGGTTTATCATATTTGATTCCAATAAATTAATATTTGGCGCTTAAATGTTTTCTACGTGTTTGGCCGAGCTTCTCTTCCAGTTCGTGTTCTGCTTCTTGATATTTGCCATTGTCTACCGAAGGGCGACCGCTATTTGAAAATAATTCTTTTCATGTTTTTGGTACCCAGAAATTGAACAACGTACCTCCCGAGTGGCAGTAGGCACATCTTACCACTCGACTAAGGCGGCAAGAGCACTAATTAAGCCCGAATAAATGTAATACATGGAGCATCGGTGCCCAACCAGTGGGTCGCGGAAGGATTACAGGTGGGTGGCGAATCGATTCTAAAACTATCAGAAACAATTGAATAAATAAACCGTCACAGAAAAAAATACATAAGATTAAAAACATCTTCGTTTTAAGGGATTGGGAATAAAGCAATATATTTTTCCTATATTTCACGCACTTTCATACTTTCCCGACTGTGTGTGGCCACTCAGTTTTATCTGATTGCCACTAAACTTTATATCAGAAGCATTTATGCTAAAAGAAAAATTCATGAATTTCATTTTTAAGGGTCATTCTATTGTATCTATGTTTTGCTATATTTGATGGTAAATTATATATGGATATATTAGAAAGGGATGCGATACAAATTTAAATATTTTACTCCACCATGGACCGATGGACCGTGAAGGTATTACGATATGGAAAGGTGGATCGCCAGTTGGAAAAGGTTGGGTATTAAAAAAACTTAAAAGGTTGGGTATTAAAAACATGAATTTTTTATAGATTTTTATTTGTTTTAATTTTCTTCTAAAAAACATTGAACTTATTTCGCTCTGCTCTTTTCTAAATGAGAACTATCCTTACTGTTAATAGTTTGAATACAATCTTCGGTCATGACTTCATACCAACATAAGCATTTTCACTATACGAAAACTATGTAAACTAAAACCGGGTTTTCTGGTTTTTTCTTAATTTCAAAACAGGGAACCGGTTTTTTCAAATTGCAATTTTCGGAATAAATTGAAACCCGGTTTTTGGAAAAAATGTCAATTATCTAACACCCTAGTGTATGCCCATCTATATATAAAACACTTGATTGCACTATTGCAGCCTAGCAGTTTTATGTCGCTTCGTTGTCATACATAGTTTGCTTTTAACTCTGTTCTATCCGCTTATGCTGTTTAATCCCTGCTAAATATGGGTTCCAGTTTCGCCTTACGATCATTTAATTTTTGTTGTGCGCGTCCATCGAAATTCGTGCGAAAATTTATTTAATCTACTTAAGAACTCATAAACTTACCAACTTTGATGGCAAATATTTTACTTAAGACGTTTCCATCGCTAAGCGCGCTTGATTCAATTCGTTGGTGATAGTATAGCCAACTAAAGATGAATTTGTGATTTGCTACAGAAGGAGATATTGGAATTTAAGAGTCTTGCGCTTCATTTAACTCTTTGTAAAACGAAAATGGGATAGTTGTTGGAAGAACATATTTTAAGTAACTTCTACACATTTTCATGAACTGGGTAGGAAATATCAGGCTTACTCCTTCGGTAAACAAAACAGAAGATTTCAGTTAGCATCGAAAGATCTTCAAACAAGACGTGTGGCAAGGTTTCAAGACCGATTAGATAGTAAGGGAAGGAAACAACGTAGAAATTCAGTCACCGTAGCCTAGTTTTGGAAGATTCTTCTACAACTCGATAGAACTCTATTCGAGCTAGATCGAAAACTTCTAATAGCGGTCGTCGGTGGGCAAACACTTCAGACCTGCGAGTGTATTTCTGTCGGGAATAAGGTTCCCACCCTGATGGGCATACTTACTTAAATAGTTTTGCATACGCGTGTGGTAACTGGATACCCATGTAGATACTTGTTATTTAGAGATGCCTAAATATTTAATTTAGAAAACACGGGTTTGTAAGAGTCGCTAAATAAATACTAAATTGTTAAATTCTCAAATATTTGAATGTATTAATACTGAAGTACAGTACTAAATATCTCGTTATTCCGGACACAAATATAATTTGTCCGGCTTACTGGATTTGTCCGGAATATAGAAAGCTGTGCAATTAATGACATAATTATAAATATATTTATATATTTATGTAAAATTCTTATTAGAGCCTTAAAATGTTCACCTGCATATCTTATTGATTTCGCTGAGTCAAGAAAATGTAAAATTTTACATTTTATGTTGCTTCTTTGTCGCTGGCATCCTCTTTTTATTACGAGCTTTCACTACACTTGGTCATCCCGCGGAAATTTCCAATCGATTTTAAACTAACTTCGCGACAAGCTAGAGACTTGAATGGTATAACTCGCCAAACAATAGTAACTCCAAAAATTTACTGTAAATTTTATGGTATGTAAAAATGCATTTTTTTCTTGTTGGCGAAATTATCGTATGTGCTAAGAAATTAGAATGTAGAGACCTTACAAAAAAAAATCCTGTGTTTAGTTATATTTCTCAATTATCTCAGCAACGCTAAACTTGGGTATTACTGGTGCTAGCCAAAGCAGAGAAAAATACAAAGAACACTTTCCTGTAATATATTGTTTTTGTAACATACGATAAAGGGGTCGATATAGATTTCTTACATTTTCCAAAGTGTTATGTAGAGATGTGAAGCAACAACAAAATTTGAACAACTGTTGTAAAATAACGTAACTTTACGATAAATACAACACCTTGTGAATTGCATAATTGTTCGGCATTTTCGACAGAAGGCCGAAGCCGTATATAAAAAGCAACCGAATAGGCCGAATACTGAAGTCAGGCCGAACCTTCGGTCGGACACTAATACATGCATACACACATGCAAAAATGCAGTTGTAAAAGCACCCCTACAAGGCACGAATGACTAAAATTACAACACATTCCCAAGTAAAACTAACACCTATGTATGCGAAAATCTATATCCTAGTTGGACCGGACAGAACAGTGACAATCATTTTACCAGTCATATGATTGACAATGCTGATAGCATACGAATTTTTTCAGTGACTATCATTTGACCGTCACTGATGATGGAAAGGTAGACCAGGAAAGCAAATATGTACATCATTATAAATCACAATTAAAAAATTCTAGTAGTTAAAGAAGGCGGTCGCAAATTTTATGCGAGCAATTAATAAAGCAAATTCAAGTATTTTATAATGAAAAAAGAAATTTTATTAATGCTATGAGCAGAAAAAAGCTCGTATTTTTTAATATGACGTCGAAACCCATCAATTGTGATCAGTCATATTTGACCAACTTTTATAGCTGGTACGATTTGCCAATAGTGACTTAAGAACCCATCAAGGATGATTATTCATATGAGACCAACGTTTATATCATTGGTGATTCACATGTATACATTTTCTTCCATACAATTTTGCACATTACCTTTAATATTTTAATAGACACTTTAATACAAAGTAGTGACGAGTATTTCTATCAGTATTGCCGTCATTTTACCGGTCAAATGATTGTCACTGTTCTTGCAGGGACATTATTTCATAGATACTGCTCGTTTTCTTTTTTGTTGATTTAAGTGATTTTCATTTTCGAAGTAGCTATACTCGACTATTTGCAAAGAAAATTTTTGGAGCAAAGCAAAGTATTTCTCAACTGACACTCGAGTAGTATGAAATTCTTTCTTCCTTGAGTAAATTGTCCTTTTCGTAAAAGAAGCAGAGCATACTATGCTCGGAAAAACAGTTCCAGAAAGGTGTAGCTTATAAAAGTCTTCATGGCATATTTCACAAATTATTGAATAGAAGAAAGTAAAACAAGTCATCTATAGGTGCGTGCAGAAAAAATAAATAACAACTCATGCCAACAAAAAGAGGTA